GAGATTAAGTTGGATGAAAAACTGAATTTTGTGGAAACTCCAGAAGCTATAACTGACCACAAAACCCGTGTGCTGAGAAACAAAGAAATAAGTCTAGTAAGGGTACAATGGCGATTTCACAAAGGTTCAGAAACAACATGGGAATTAGAATCAGATATGAAGGACAAATATCCATGGTTATTTGAATGAATTCTGGGACGGAATTCTTATAAGGGGAGAGAATGTTATAACCTAGTTTCAGATAACCTGGGTCAAGGTAAATTTTACGTGATTATTTAATAAATTATATGATGGTATGCGTGAATGTGGCAACAATACATGATACATGAAATAAGTTCATACATGTTTGGATAATATGAATATTTTATTGAGTTAGTGGTACCTTAGTAATGAAGCAAATAGGTTTTTTAAATAATAAAATCCACACCGTCATATCTAATTTTATATTATTAAAATCTTTCACCACCTAGGTGAGGATATTTAAAGATAAGTTTGGATAAGGTTATCCTTATCACTGTCATTCTTTTAGAAAAAGAACCTCTGTGTGTGAGATAATGTGTTCTTCAAGAATTGTTGCTTCAAAAGTACTTGAAGATTCTGTGTTAAAGTAAAGTTTTTGTTGTGTATTTATCATCAAGAAATCTGTTTGATAAGGTGAGTGGTTTTAAAACTAAATTCCTCATATATTTGTGTATCAACTGTTGAGTTTTGACATTGGTTTTGAGGTTAAGATGATAAATTATCTTTAACAGTTTTTATGATGTTATTGTTTTAGAATATATTTCTGGATAAATATGAAACAAAGTTGTGTTCGTCAACAGCCTTTGAGAAGTTGTTGTTCGAATCTATTTTTGGGATTGTTTTGGAAAGAATTAAACATTATCTGGGGTTTTTAACAGTTTGAAAGAGTTTTACAGAAAAATAGAGTTTTAAACTGTTTTGGGAGAACAGGTTGTTCTTGAGAATAGAAGGTTTTGAGTATAACCTATGTTGAAACCATGATTTGGTTTGGGAATTATGAACAGGTTCACTCTGACATATATGACTGAGGTCTGTCTTTGGATGAACTACTTCATATGAATTAATGGGAGGATATAAGGGTGGAACATCATAAAAATGGAATTATTGGGAGGATATAAGGTTGGTCGTTGTCTGCGTGGCCTAACTCTTATTATGATATCTATTAAAGTTACAACAGATTTAAGTTCTCATTTCTTGGTGATTTGAGGATTTAGAGATGTTGTCTTTAGTAGAAATGATGGTAATGATGTTATGGGATTGGAGATAATATAGTTCATGACTGTTGGTCATGAATAAAAATGTTTTGGGTAAAAGCATTGATTATGAGGAAACAGAGAAGCTCTGATTGTACCTTGCAAGGAACCAGAGGGGCACTGATTGACCCTCATAGTAGAACCAGAGGATTCTGGATATTGATTTAAAATGATGCAAAATCTTTTATAAATTATTAGTTTGATAATAAGTTTTATATTTTCTTTTGAAACAAGCTTAATGCTTTATTTATAGTTTTAAATGATATTTCAAAAGAGTCTCTATACTTAGAAATTTCTATAAAACAAACCAGAGGGGCTCTGGTTGGCTTTCATAAATACAACCAGAAGCTCTAGTTAAGGAACCAAAGGCTCTGGTCGACTAAACATAAGCTCTGGTAGAAAGACCAGAGGAGCTCTGGTCATGCTTATTGAAAAATATTCTAAGTATGGTTTGGAACCAAAGGCCGGATGGACACTTTGGAACCAGAGGCCCGATGGACACTTTGGAACCAGAGGCCGATGGACTGAAAAACCATTATTTTTCTAAGTATGGGATTTTGAACAAGGGGCCCGATGGACTTAAACATGATGCGATTCTTTTATTATTCTTCATTATGATTGAGAGATTCTTTGATAAATGTTTTTGGTGATCTCACCCTGCATGGCATGAAAAAGGGAATCTCACTAGACTTTTGTCTAACCCTCATTTTATGTTTTAAAATATGTGTGCAGGTAATACCAGTTATAATATCAATAAGGGAAAAAGCATTATATGATTACTTCCCTTATGTGATTAAATGTTGAAGACCATATCTAGATGTGTTTTGGAGGAGGGCAATACTAGCTTACAAATGCATGTATTTTGGAATTTTTAAGTTATGCAATTTTTATCATAAACCTGTAGCACAGACTCTTGTAATTTTGGACCTATGTGGGAATCTATGTATTCTTGAATGAATTCTATGTAATATGCAATGTGTGGAGACTGGGGTGTCACACATGATTAATATTCTCCACAATAAAAATGATTAATCAACCTCTTATAATTACAAAAAAATGAACAAAATGAAAAATTATGATCGGTGGAATGAAGTTTTTACGGTTTTTACAAATTGAGTGGTTTTCATTTGATCGCTCCCCTACATAATAGTCCACCTATATATATATATATATATATATATATATA